GATCTTCCTCTCTGTCTCTTCTCTCTGTATATCTGCCTTTCCAATAAAAAAAATAATAATAAAAATAAATCTTAAAAAAAAAAAAAAGAATGCCATTAAGGCTGGTGCTGTGCTGCTCCCTAGAAGGGTCAGCATCCCATATGGGCACCAGTTTGAGTCCTGTATGTTCCGCTTCTGATCCAGCTCCCTGTTAATGTCCCTGGGAAAGCAGTGGAAGATGGCCCAAGTGCATGGATCCCTGTACCCATGTGGGAGTTCCAGGAGAAGTTCCTGGATCCTGACAGGCCCAACTTGGGCTTACTGTGGCTATTTGGGGAATGAACTAGCATACAGAAGAGTTTTATTCTCTTTATCTCACTCTACTTTTCAAATAAATAAATACATCTTTTTTTAACAAAGGCATTATAGGGTTTGTACTTCATTAACAGTTCTGGGGTAGCATGCACAGAGAATGGGTTGTTAAGAGTGCACGATGGGGCCCGGCGTGATGGCCTAGTGGCTAAATCCTCACCTTGCAAACTGTAGGGATCCCATATAGCTGCTCGTTCATGTCCCAGATGCTCAATTTCCTATCCAGTTCCCTGCTTGTAGCCTGGGAAAGCATTAGAGGATGACCCAAAGCCTTGGGACTTTGCACCCACGTGGGAGACCTAGAAGCTCCTGATTTCAGATCAGTTCAGCTCCGGTCATTACAGCCATTTGGTAAGTGAGCCAGAAGATGGAAGATCTTCTCTGTCTCTCCTCCTCTCTGTATATGTGGATTTCCAATAAAAATCAATAAATCTTACAAAAAGAAGTGCAGGACCAATGCCAGAGAACCCAGTTAGGAGGCTGCAAAAAATAAATAAATAAAAATAAATAAAAATAAAGCAGGAAACCTTTTAGGTTAATGGAAGAAAAAGTGAAACTGTGTGGAAAGATGAGAGAAGCTTAGGGGGCTGCATCAGGAAAATTTAATGATTGACTCAAAACTGACCAAAATATTCAGAGGTTTGTAGTCTTACTTTTGTTATTAGGACTATTCCACGAGAACAGAAACCCAGCACCTAGGATATTTCAGTCCTTTTTAGGAAGTTTTAGACATTGTGTGAGTGGTGGAGGTAGAATGGATGGAGGGGAGACTGTAAAATTAGGTCAATTATTTATACATTGAATTTAAGATGCCCATCAGGCATCCTAATGAGTGTTCCCAGGAGCCAATATATACAGGCATACTTCAAAACCTTACAGAAAATAGAACTAAAGGACATGTTTACTTTGGCTTAAAAATTAAAACCTATACATATGCATAATCTTAGAGTGAAAAGGGAAATTTGGCTTTCAAGAGCAACTCTGAAGAGCACCAATGTCTAAGGACAGGCAGAGGAAGGGGGTGGTCACAGGATCGGAACACCACATCAGAGCAGCTGAGTCCAAAATAGAGCTTTCCTATACCAAGAGAACACACAAATACGCTGTTAAGCTATCTATAATCTTGACATAGAACTTTTTCACGTTTTGAAATATAAGAGTTTTAAACTTAGAATGCATTCTCTGAATCACTGAGGAAAGAACTGCAATGATTTGGTTTCACCTCTTAATTGATTTCTTAAAATCTACTGTGTGGGAGAAAAGGAATCTGGATGAATAAGGGAGATTAGTCTCTTCAAGAAAGAAAGAAAGCACACTTGTCCTGTAACCCACAGTTGTTGGTTGAGGCAAAACTGCAGGTATATAGAGATGCCCAAGGAAGAGAGGTGGACAGCTCTTCATTCAGCTGTTTATACAAACGGCTAATCAGTTTTTCTTCCTTTTTTAAAAAATAGAAATATAAAAATAAATAGATGCTAACTTCACTCCTGATTACCAGAATGTCATGTCTAGTTCTAGATCAAGCACCACACTGCAATTTGGTTGATAACTTCAATAGAATAATTCTGGAAGTAATTGTGGCAGTGCAATGTATTTCAGATCCCCACACTATTTCTTTCTTACTCTAGAAAGTGCTTTGGCTCAGCTACCTCTTCCTAGCTTTGGGCAAACTCACAGTGTCACAACAACCTTGAGCAGGTGCCAAACATAAAAAATATGCAAGTTTAAATCTGAATGAAAACAGAATACAGCTTAAGACCAACATTAGCTGGTTCAAGTGTATTTGGGGTCTGAAACCTCATCTGGACTTCCATCTGAAAACTTAGTTCAGAGAATGACTACTCTATACATTAAAGCAACAACATATAGCAAGCTTTGCTATTAAAAAAAATTGGCAGCTGTGAGGCTGTTTTATAGAATTACTGGGCACACAGGAACCATTTCTTTGTATTTTATGACTTTATACTTTTAAGAAAAAATACTGCCGTATGATTGTTTACATGAAGTTGTACTTAACACTGAATGAAGTTTGATTTTAGAGGATACTTTTAAATCATGATTTGACCTAAAAAAATGATGATGATAATGTTTAAATATATTGTTGCAGATGCAGCATTGAAGAATGTTCTCAATACACAATGGGCATCCAATATATAATGTTAATTTTTGTTAATATGATTTGGTACTATTACTGAATCATAAAATTACATTAAGTGTACAGTGTTTAGAAATGGACTTTTATACTTCTGTAACAGAATTAAAAAGAAGGAATAGTGTTAAATACTTTCATAAAAATGTAGTTAGGGGCCCAACAAGGTAATGTAATTGTTAAAATCCTCACCTTGCACGCACTGGGATCCCATATGGGCACTGGTTCTAATCCCAGCAGCCCGACTTCCCATCCAGCTCCCTGCTTGTGGCCTGGGAAAGCAGTCGAGGATGGCCCAAAGCTTTGGGACCCTGTACCTGCATGGAAGACCTGGAGGAAGTTCCTGGCTCCTGGCTTTGGATCGGCGCAGCACCGGCTGTTGTGGTCACTTGGGAAGTGAACCATCGGACAGAAGATCTTCCTCTCTGTCTCTCCTCCTCTCTGTTTATCTGCCTTTCCAATAAAAATAAAATAAATCTTTTTAAAAATATAGTTAGAAGAATTAGATTTAGTGATAAGGGTTATAGCAGGAGTAAATACTTACCAAGACAAATCCAGAAATACTATTTTCATCTGAATTTAGAAAATAAACATCTGCAGTGAGAGCTAAGTAGTAAGTCCAAATGAATAGTGATTCAGCTGACTCAGCTGCTTGCCACTCTATTTTCTTTAAATTATCAGAAGATAATAGTACTATCTGATTCTTAAAGAAGAAAAATAACTGCGAATAACTTAAATCTTGCTTTTTCAGACCGCTTAAACAACTAAGCACTTAAATGATTCCTATTGTCACTATTTAATAGTTCATAAACATCACTCCAATCAATTATGCATTAATTACAGTGATTTAAAAAATAAGTTAATATTCTAAGTTTGAGAAAATTACTGTTTTAAAGATCAGAGTTACAGCTTTAAACCAAAGAATCATAATTAAGGTTAAAACGTGGCATGCACCAACTATGGTTAGAGGCATTTGGATTTAATCCCTTAGCAACCCTCATAGCTCAGTATTGGTATTTAAGAGTTTTGAAATGGAAATACATTTCCAAATTCTAACATATTAGGACTCATGTAAATAACCGGTGTCAATTTCCTTTAAAATCACTGCCAAGAAGTTAATTTTGAAAGTACTTGCTTCCTAACTTGTAACCTTCACTATTATCATTCATTGTAACAGCAACTCACTTTATCCCTAATAGAAATAAATTCCTTGATTAAAATCCTTTAGCAAAACAATAAACTACCTATCCCTATGCTTGCAAAGTTAGTAAAGTTTAGAAAAAAAAAAAAATCTAAGCAGGCAGAAGAGCCACAAAAGGCACAGAACCCTGGGATGGGAGTTTAGTGCTGTAAACTGCTTGGCAGCACAGCAATGAAAGACCAATGACAGTAACTGTCCCAATCTAGGTCAGTTAACAGTCACACTTCGTACACACTCACTTTGGCTCTTTTTGGAGATCAACACTGTTCTAATTGAAATGCTATAGCATAAGAAGAGCTTGGTAGCAACAGGGTGTTCAAAAATTACCTAATAACTTGTGTAAAAATCTTAAAATCATCTAATACTAATCACAACCCAGTAACTGTGAGGGGTAGGTGCTAAGGGAACTGCAGAAACCAGGAAGAGATCGTGTGCTACTGAATACTGTGTTTGAGCTAAAGACTGCTGGCTTCCTTAGCTCTGAATACACAAAATGGAACACTGTCTAGTTGCCTTCAAAAAGCCTAAATTTAAGCATAAAATTTCAGTGTTAACATACTTTTTCTTAGTCTTCCAGTAGCATTTGTCCTTATTTTTTTATGTTCGATTACTGATATTTGATTTCTGAATATACTATTTAATGATCTGACAACTCCTGCCCAATTAACACTCTCAAACTAAAAATTACAAAGAATTTATGTATCTTATTTTGAATATATTATCTCAAATATTAAAGTCCATAGTAGCACATACACCAGCAACCTGGCATAGCTTTCTATTTGAAATTAGTGTTTTACACTTAGCTCCATATACCACTTCCCTTGGGAAAGAACTGGATGTGCACGATGGATACCTGAGGAAAGGTGAACTCTCGTTGTGAAAGTATTTTTTTCTCTGTATGTGTGTAAAGTTAACGATCCTATAAAAGGATTAAATTCCTGCCTTTAACCTCATAGCACCATACTTCAACCGAGTTAACTCGTTCAAACTGTTAGATAATACAGTGGTAACAAAATAACAACACACAAAAGTTATAATTCATCATCTTATGGTTTCACAGAGATGAAACAAGTTTGTGATCTTAATTGCACATCCTGAGAAATCGTTTATTAAATAATCCACCCCTCAAATCAAAGAAGTGCAGTTATCTGAAATCTAAAGACTTAAGAAAACAACAAAATTACTACAACCAACATTCACTGTGAGGAACACTTAACAAAATTCAGTGAAAGGTAACCTTCTTAAAATGTGGCAGATACTGGAGATTCCTATCAGCACTCACTAACTTGATAGACAGGAAAGCTTTTAATTCAGGTGCTGGAAGGAATACTAAACAATCTGATTCCAAAGAATCTGTGCTCAGCATCTTTCAGGTTTATTAGAGATGAGATGATGTATGAACCACAATATAGGTAAGATTTAGAGTTCTTAAGTCATTTTCAAATCAGGCTGAGAGTAAAGTGGAACTTTATGACCTCATACAGTCTGTCGGAGTTTTATACTAACCAGTAGAGGTAGTAAAGTGTTGGAAATTAAAGTACAAAGTCAGTATTAACTGTAAACAATTCTAAAGCATTGTATGTAACTCTTTAAAATATGTAGTAAAAAGAAATTATTAGAATTCATATAAACTCAGAAGTAAAAAAAGCAAAAAATAGGAGTATTTAGTGAATTTACTCAAATGAAGGAAGCTTAAATGATACAGAAATGAAAATATTAGAAATCTATATACAATAAAAAGTGAATATAAATTAGCTAATTTCATGGACATTTTCAATTACACATTCATACAAACACATATTCACCTTTTCTTATATAGGAAAACATACATACATACATACATGGCATGATGATTCCAGCCAGAAAAAAAAATCAGAGATACTAAAAATGTTCTCAAGTTTAAAACTGAGTGGAATACACTGAACAATAACATTCTATGTGAATGTAAATCCCTGATTTAATTCCAGGATTTTATCATGCCAGAAGCATGGTCAGTTTTAATTTTTTTAAACAGATATTGGTATCATAACATATTGATATTGGCTTAGTAATAATTAAGGCATTTTGTATATAGAGCATCTCAATATGAACACAAAAATTTAATATTGATTATTTGCTTTGATATTTTCACTTTAAAAGTCTTTTTAACATAAGAAAATAGCTGCACACATTTAAGTTTTTTTATAAAACAATCTTAAAAAAAAAAAAGAAACAAAAACCACTATGATTGGTCTTTGTACTTTCTAGTAATAAGTCTTGTCTTACTTTTCCAGAGTATAAATTATATTCTTATGCATAACTGCATTAAGACCCAGTAGTTCTTCAACAATGTTATCAAATAACCATACAGATCTCAACTGCAGCAAGGGTGAAAAATCTTCATAGTGCACTTCCACCTCACTGAAGCTGAAGCTGCTCCTTTTGGATACTATTCCACTTCAATGTGAAGTAGATGCTTAGGGCTTCATTAGTGGTTTCATTATGTGGCTTCGTAAAAGAAAAAAATCATTTTGATTTCTTCCATAGTTCACAGTTCTCAAGAGGCCCATTTTTGAAAATCATATAGTCCCAGGATGTCTTGAAAAACCAAATGCTCCTTTAGTAGTAGAAATCTCTCAATGCAACTGTAATAAATAAGCATCTACATCCTTAGAGGGTAAAACAAAAACATTTCATTAGCCAGGATAGTAAGTATACATATTTATAACTCATTTTCTTTTCCTTTTTTGTTGCTTTATATACTTTAGTTTCTCTTTGTGACCTTTTGACAGGACAATGATTCATTTAACTTTTAATCTGCACCTGTTTAGCAAAGGGCCTTGCACACATCATCTACTCAATGTTTGCTAAGTGCTGAGACAATGTTGTGGTTTCTGTACTCACACAAACCTGCAATCACAGGACTGTTAACAGTATTAAATAAACTCAAAGCCAATTTCCTAACAGTGTCTTTCTGATTTCTACCCTCATAGACCTACAAATTATTTGAGAGCTTAAATATAGCTTCTACTGTAGCTTAAGGAACTTCATATTGGACTTATAAGTTACTCTTTGATCCTCAATAATAACATGGCATTTTAAAGCCATGGTCATGATAAAGCTTCTCCCTTTGTGCCATTATCCAGAATACAAAACGCCAGGAAGCAAGGTGACAAGATAGTATGCTCTAAAAACATAAAGCAACCACAACAAAACAAAAACAAAAAAACTTCTAGGAAACTAATTTCTAAAATTTTATTTTAAAGATTTATTTTTATTTGAAAATCAGAATTGTAATAGAAAGAAAGAAAAAGGGCTCTTCCTCTACAGGTGCAGGATCTCCTCAGAGGGCCACAAGTGCTGGGCCCATCTAAAGCCAGAAGCTTCTTCTGCCTCTGCTGCTTTCCTAGGCCACTAACAGGGAGCTGGATCAAAATGGAGCAGCCAGAACTCGAATGTGAGGGGCTTCATCTGCATCGCCAAGGCAATAGCCCTGATTTCCAAGATTTTTATCACTAAGAATTCTAAAGAAGGTGCTTGTGTAATGGGGTGGCAGGTACAATCACCACCTGTGACACCAACACACCCTCTGGGCATCAGTTTGTATCCCAGCTGCTCTACTTCTGATCAAGTTCCCTGTTAATGACTGGGGCAAAGCAGTGGAAGATGGCCCAAATCCTTGGATCCCTGTCACCCACATGGGAGACCAGGATGAAGTTCCTGGCTCCTGGTTTGCAATAATCTGGGCAGTGATTGAAATGCACTCTCTCTCTCACTCACTTTCAAAAGATAAATCAAAAAGAAAAAAGACTATACAGAGTAAAATCATACAGAGTAACATTTTATGCTATTTTGCTTCTTTAAAAGGGTATCCATAAAGAATTTTGTAAGTGCACAACATAAACTGCATTTAAGAAATTTTAAAATCAAACATACATCACTTTTCTATTCCTGGCTGATGTCTATATATGACAGTATGCCCGGTAATAGGGCAGAAATATTTCTTCATTTTTATTTGCAATTGTATTTTAAGTACAATAAAATTTTTCAAGAGTTTAAGTATTAAAATCCATAGCAGCAACATATTCTTTTCTTCAACAATGTCTAATTTCTTCTGTGATTAAAGTTTGCTTTTTGGAATGTGTTCCTCCTTCCTTGTTTCTGACTTATGTTGCAAGTTCAGGCATCATCCTACTCTGGAATCTTGACTTCATATTTCTCAATCATTAGAACTAGATCATTAAATACCCTGCAGCATAGCATTTCCTTGGCTCTATATGAAACATCCAACAGGTAATTCCTGTTCCTCCTGACAAGGTCACATTCACATTCAGAGGATTTTAAACATTTGCAAATATGAAACTGACTTTATGTTAGCACGTTACCCAATTAGCACGTTACATATTAGCACGTTACCCAATTATTTTGGTTAGAAATCTGAACCATATATTATTCCTGATTTAAGTTTAAATATAGATTACCTTAGCTATATTACCAGTATATCCTGGAACCAAAGTAAGATGGTTTTCCTGTTCCCATAACCCACTTAATTGTTGTTTTAAAATTTGAATATTTCTAGGAGGAGAAAAAAAAGAAAAATGAGAAAGTAAATATAAGTGTATATAGCCTTTATTAGTAAATTCAGTTTCAAATTTTCAAATATTTACCAGGAGAAAGCTACACTAATTTAGAAAACTTTAAATGTTAAGGGGCTAGGTGGGAGATATTTTTTAGACATACTAACCCATCATTGGAGACTTCTGATTTGGATGACAGTTCTGACCACCACCGTTTTATAACTGCTTGAAGCCAGTTTAAACCAACTATTACATATCTGAAACAACAACATGACCAGATTTAAGTATTTTCATCTAAGAACCCTTTTTACAAAAGATAATACTCTTCTCCAAAAACACAGACATTGATCTTTCTTCCCTTCTTATAAACTTATTTTTTCACTATTTTCATGATCTATTTCACAAAACTAATTATGTACGGGCCTACAAATGCTTTTATGATTATGCTTTAATTATTTTGTATTCTTAATTATACTATCAATTCCTGGAAAAACAAACTATTAAGGCTTCATGAAGCCCAATGCACTAATAAGAACTCAGACATTAAGAATGCTAGAAGAGGGCCCGACATGATAGCATAGTGGTTAAAGTCCTCACTTTGCACGCCCGGGATCCCATATGGGTGCTGGTTCTAATCCCGGCAGCTCCACTTCCCATCCAGCTCCCTGCTGTGACCAGGGAAAACAGTTGAAGATGGCCCAAAGCTTTGGGACCCTACACCTGAGGGGGAGACCCGGAAGAGCTCCTGGCTCCTGATTGGTTCAGCTCCAGCCGTTGTAGCCACTCGGGGAGTGAATCATTGGACGGAACATGTTCCTTTCTGTCTCTCCTCCTCTCTGTATATCTGACTTTCCAATAAAAATAAATAAATTAAAAAAAAAAATAAAAAGGAACACTGGAAGAAAAAAACAAATTGATTCGATCAGCACTTACTCTTCGAATCTGCTTTTAAGTAATGACTTTACTAGGGGCAACAAGTCCACACAGCAGCCAAGTGAGATATAGTGTTTTTCTTCCTGTAAACTGAAATAAATGTTAAGTTAAAAAATATGTACATTAGTAAGTCATACTTTGTCCTTTAAATTTATTTCATTGCAAAACTACTGCTCTTACCTATTGGTGAGCACAGGAAGGCAATCTACTACAACTCCCAGATCTTCTATCCTATGGGCACAAAAAGGAATTCCAAATTTATTTTCATGTTATGATCTTCACACTGCTTTCAAGGGATTCACAAATTTAACAAACAGTCTTGAGGAGGCTCAAGACAAAGAAGTGAATACCAGATAGGGCATGCATTCCAGTGTGAGTAAGCGAGTGGGTTACAGACAAGTAATGGTGGGAGGGGGTGGATCCTCCAGCAACTGGTTCACTTCCTCTAAAGGCTGCAATGATGGGGGCTGGGCCAGACTGAAGCAGGAACCTGGAACTCCATCCAGGTCTCCCACAAGGGCTGCCTCTGGAGGCTCTCCCCAGCACTTAAGCAGGGAGCTGAAAGCAGAGCAGCCAATACACAAAGCAGTGCTCTCACAGGAGTTTACTTACTACACGATGATACCAGCCTCAAAGAGGATTTTAAAGAAGTTTTTTCACAGTGACATCTGTTAGTTTTTCAGACAAAAACCTTAGAAAAACAGGTATTCTGTATTTTGGTTATTCATAGATTAGTGAGAACTATAAATTAGGCCAGACTGTCTCTATTAAAGCTAAGTATAGGAGGTTTAAAATTTTAACCAGTAATAACGTTAAGAAGCACTTTCAATTTTGCACTCAAAATTACCTGCACTGAGTATAAACAACCACACTTACCTTACCAAATAGGCTACAAGTTCACTTATACTTCGCTTCCTCCAAAAAGTTAAAGCTACATTCAATCTCAAATTCCTGCTGAATAAAACTTGGGCCATTGTTTCATGGTCCTGAGAAACCTGAAATATGATAATTTATTTGTTAAATAACACAAGGAATTACATGAAAACTCTTTTCAATTAAATCATTTGGTAGAAATGTCAAATTATACAAAGGCTAATCCCTTTTATTGGAAATACCCACAGGTGAAAACAATAAACAAATGATTTACTGTTTATCAGTACTTTTGCTAACACTAACTACTGTTTTTCTCTTCCATTTTCAGTAACTTATGAAAGAGGGAGAGGCAGTATCTGCCACATGAGACAACTGCAGCCCACAAGGGAATGCACAGTTTGCATCCCAGGGCCTCTGCCTGCGACCTAGCCTCCTGCTAAGGTGTACTCTGGGAGGCAGCCCATGATGACCTAGGTGCTGTGTCCCTGTCACATGAGACCTGGGATTGAGCTGCAGGGACTTCGGGTTTAGGAATGACGCACCCTTTGCTCCTGTGGCCATTTGAATAAAAACAGCAGACTTAAAGCTTTCCCTCTTAGCACCTTTCCAGATTAAATGAAGAGACATGATTTCCACATAAAGTGGCAGTATAATCCTATTTATTGTAAAAAGTTTAAACAGAACTACTTATATACACACACACGTGTGTACATATAAAGTAAATATTCTCTAGAAGCCAAAAAAAGTCAAGTATCATTCCTGAGAAATAAAAACATTTTACAGACTGACATTTGTATCTCCAAACCATTTTCAAAGACCTGGTACGCACATACAAAAAAAAAGTTTGGGGCCCAGCAGCTAAAGTCCTCGCCTTTAATGCACCAGGATCCCATATGGGCACCGGTTCTAATCCCAGCAGCTCCACTTCCCATCCAGCTTCCAGCCTGTGGCCTGGGAAAGCAGTCAAGGACGGCCCAATGCTTTGGGACCCTGCACCCATGCGGAAGACCTGGAAGATGTTTCTGGATCCTGGCTTTGGATCGGCACAGCACCATCTGTTGCGCTCACTTGGGGAGTGAATCATTGGACAAAAGATCTTCCTCTCTCCGTTTCTCCTCCTCTCTGTATATCTGACTTTGTAATAACAATAAATAAATCTTAAAAAAAAAGTTTGTATTGGGACCAGCGGCGTGGCCTAGTGGCTAAAGTCCTTGCCTTGAACGCACCGGGATTACATATGCACGCCGGTTCTAATCCCAGCAGCTCCACTTCCCATCCAACTCCCTGCTTGTGGCCTGGGAAAGCAGTTGAGGTTGGCCCAAGGCTTTGGGACACTGCACCCATGTGGGAGATCCGGAAGAAATTCCTAGAAGTTTGTGTTTTCTTTTTTTAAAAGTAATATTTATTTATTTCAAATGCAGAGAGATAAAGAGACAAATATCTCCTGTCCCCTGGCTCACTCCCCAAATGCCAATATCAACTTGGATTGGGAACTCAATGCAAATCTCCCATGCGGTTGGCAGGGACCCAGTTCCTGAACTAGCAGTACGGCTTCCCAGTGCATACATTAGCAGGAGGCTAGAACTGGAAACAGAGAGCTGAGACTCAAATTTGAGAAGCTGGCGCCCTAAGTAGTGCTGCCAAACACCACCTGCATTCTGCTTGATATCTAGCAACTTCCTATCCTGACCAGCTGCAATATCTGTATGGCAGAATAAACACCAGTTCTGGAAAATTACTTATTTTCTTTTCCAGGCTAATTTAAAAAAATTTTTAAATAATTTTTATATAGATGATTAGGGTAGAAAGGGTCAAGGGCTACAGGTAAGTGGGCAAGACCATTGTTTTCTATTCTCTTTTTCCTTCCTGCCTCTAGGGGAAGGGAGGCGACAAAGGGAAAAGCACAATTGGCCTCCCAAACACCTCTGCATCCTGGGAAGGAGGACAGCCACCTGACGCCATCCCAGAGTCCCAGATGTGGGGCTTGGTCTGACAGTCCCACTCAAAAGATTCTGATAGTTCCACGGTTCTGAATTACTGCCAATCTCGCCACTCCAAGCATGACAAAATCTTTCCAGAATCCTGGTTGACATGCTTCTGTCTCGGTTTGCCCAGATATTTGCTGCCAACACTTGACTGAAGTAGTTGATCAATTTATTTTGTCCTCTGTCATGGTACCAGGTGTCCTCTGCAGGCTCCAATGTACTGCCATATTCCCCATGTGCACCTGGATATGCCGTCCACTGTTCCATCTAAGCCACTGAGGACCACTTCACACATGCACTACATGGTCAGATCATGGAACCTGCCAAATATCTCCACGGCTGGATTTGGAGTCCAGTGAATCAATTGGAGGTATCCCCACAAAAACATCATCTGAGGTGATCCCAGCCCTGATTTTTGTGTGTGCTTGCCAACAGGGCCTGGCACAGTTGGTTGCATACACTGGTAGTGGCAACTTCTGGGTCAGTTCTCTCCTCAGCCCTATCTTGAATGCAAATCAGTGAGCGTTGGAGCCCATCCTAAATCTGCCTATCACACACGTGACTCTCAAGTATGCCAGTGGGAGCTGCATCTAGTCAGAGCAACCTGCAATAACCACCACCAGGATGGCCCCCTGCACTGGTTCCCATGCCTGCCAGTATGTAAATTGGTCCAGTTTGTTCCCATCCCATTCAGCGCTCATTCATGTCAATAGGCACTGAAGTCCAGTTCAACCCAACCAGCCCACTATCCAGCCCACTTACCTGCCAGCGGGTGCCACTCTAGCAATGCCTGTCCCAGTCCTGATTCTTGTGCTCACCAGTCTGAGTGGCAACCTGAGGCAAGGGCCACCACTTCCCTACTGGGCACACTCCCACTTCTGGACCTTACATTCTCCAGGTGGTTCTGTAGTTTAGCTTGACAGAATTTGCCCCTCCGTGCCAGCATCTGCCAGCTGATGCTGCAGCAAAGCCCAACCAAACCAACCCACTCTGGCTGGCTTGTGTATGCACTAGCAGGAACATTCAACCCAGCCTGATTTCCCCTGATCTAGCTCACCTGAGGTCAACAGGTGTGGTGGCCCTGCATGGCATGGTCTGCCCTCATCCCAACTCACACTCTCCAGTGGCAGTGATGGTCCAGCGGGGAAGCCTTATGCAGCCCCCCTACTGGCTTTACCCCTCCTCTCCTGGGCTCATATGTGCTGCGACCCATTCTGGCATCGCCCGCCTCATCTTGGCATTTGCCAGTAGGTGTTCTAGCGTGGCTGGGTCCAACCAGCACCCAACCCAGCCCTCATGTGAACTGGCCTGTCCCAGCCTGACCCACACTCCATTCTGGTGCTCGGATTCACCAGCGGGTGATATGAACTGGCCCTGCCTGGTTCACCCCCGACCTACACCAAATCTATGTTGGTGGGTACCATTACCTGGCCTGGTCCGGGCTGCTCCTTATCAACTATATCCCAACAGAGGAGTTTCCCAAGCTCCTCCATCAGAACCTCTCCCAATGCCAGATCTTGCGCACACTGGTGGGTCCATGGGCCAGTCCTACTTAGTCCACCTCCTGTCCTAGCAGGAACAGTGGCCTTTCCTGACCAGCCTTCACCCATTCCAGTTTTTACTGTTGGGTGTTATAGCCCAGCCAAGCCTGATTTACAACTAGACACAGCTCACACCTGTCTCAGCAGGGGCAAAGATCTAGCTTAGCCTGTCCTACACCTACCCTACCTACTCACATGGTTCTCACATATACCAGTGGGTGCTGAAGCCTAGCCCAGTCTGACACACCCCATACCCAGTTCACACTTGTGCCAAGGGACACTGCAGCCATATCCAGATCAGAAAGCAGCCACTACTCCGGCCCCTATGCTCACCAGTGGGAACCACAACCCAGGCAGGGCGCCCCCTTAGTTCCCCAACCAGGCCTCTTTCCAGCTATCTTGCCCAGCTATCTGACCCCCAAACCTGGACTTTGTGCTCACCAGTGGGAACTATGACCCACTAGGGGAGTTCCCCAGGTTCTCCCACTCCATCCACTCCCAGAACCACATCTCATGCATGCCGGTGAGTTTTAGTGCCCCACACTCTGTTTTAGGATGCACGTGCAGGTGGTACAGCCTAGAGCTGCCCAGGTTATAATCGGCCCCAGTACTTGTGACTGATGGCAGGTTCCATGATCACACCTAGCTCAGCCCATTATCACCCCAACTCTGGAGCTAACCAGCGAGGCTTTTTTTTCCCCACAGGGTTGAGCCCACATATTCCCCAGATTCTATCCCTGGACCTGATTCTCTTGCGTGCTGGTTGGTGTCATGGCCCTGTCTAACGTGACCTATCTAATGTTCCGACACTCAGTCAGGTACTGGGATTCAGCCCTACTAGACAGCTCTGCAGTCCTAGCATGTGCGTGGCTGGCGTGTAGCAGTCTGCGATGCTCTGCGCTAACAAGCCCATCTCAGGACTACCATGTGGCTGGTAAACAGTCGGACCCATACAGATCTCTCGATCTCTCCCCTCCAAACCACCAGTTCTCTGTCTCCTCACTTACCTGCGAGTACAGTGACCCTGTTGTTGGCTATCTGTCTCAGGATTCAATCCTTACCTATATATACGGTGGCCTTATGCATGGATGTCCTTATGCAGTAATTATTCAACCCCAAGTTCCCAGAGCTTGTCGGTAGGCGGCCAATGGGCAAAGCTTGGTGCTAACAGGTACACTTGCTGCCCGAGCTAAAATGAAGCCAGTTGCTTTTTCCCCCGCCCGTCAGCCAAAAGCAGCCGATGCACCAGAGGCTCCAGTTCGCATGCCTGCCCTATTTTATTTTCTTATAATCTTGTTTTTACCTATATGAATGTTTTTTAATGTCAAAGCACAGATCATGTGCCTGGTATGATACCCTAGTGACTAAATCCTTCCCTTGCATGTCCTGGGATTGCATATGGACACCGGTTCATGTCCCAGCAGCTCCACTACCCATCCAGCTCTCTGCATGTGCCCTGGGAATGCAGCAGTGGATGGCCCAAGGTCTTGGGAACCTGTGCCCGCGTGTGAAACTTGGAAGCTGCTCCTGGTTTCGGATTGGCTAAGCTCCAGCTGTTGCAGCCACTTGGGGTGTGAGTTAGTGAATGAAAGAGCTTTCCATCTGCTTCTCCTCTTTGTAAATCTGCCTTTTCAACAAAGAATGTTCAAAGGAACAAACACAAATCATCATCATTTTTAAAAAAACAACAGTTTAGGACCTGGCGCAGTAGCCTAGTTGCTAAAGTCCTCACCTCACACATGCTGGGATCCCATAAAGGCGCCAGTTCATATTCCAGCAAACCACTTCCCATCTAGTTCCCTCTTGTGGCCTGGGAAAGCAGTCCAGGATGGCCCAAAGCCTTGGGACCCTGCACCCATGTGGGAGACCTGAAAAAAGCTCTTGGCTCCTGGCTTCAGACCAGCTCAACAATGGCTGTTGCAGAAACTTAGGGAGTGAGTCAACAGATGGAAGATCTTCCTCTCTGTCTCCCCTCCTCTCTGTATATCTGACTTTCCAATAAAAATAAATCTTTAAAAACAAAAACAGTGTAGGTTTTAAACAGCAGGGAGTGGTGTCTACCCCTTTCCCTACTGTGCACACAGAAAAAAAAAAAGGAAACATCACCCCCCACCTTCCTCCATATCTCAACCCTTTGTACCCTAATCAGAAGCCACATGGGAAATCATCCCTCTCAACTACATAAACAATACTAAAAATAAAATTCTTTAAAAACACAATTATCATCTTCTCTAGCTTTCACATCCCAGTTTATTTAGATTTTAGTTTTTGACTTAATAAACTATGTCAACATCCTGATGTGATTAATTCAGAATTGGACAGATCTAATTATACAAGGGGAACATTACATATTTATTTGATATATATCGTTTTAAGAATACAGTGGACAAAACTTTTTTCTGAAATTAATTTTACAATTTAAAGGTATTAGAAGGTTTGCTAATAAACCTTTACCTGGCAATTCTGAGGGCCCAGCAAAATGTGTCTAGATGACCCACTTCAGAGGTCCACTTTTTTTTACAAAAAAAATTATTTATTTATTTTTATTGGAACAGCAGATTTTCAGAGAGAAGGCAAGATAGACAGGAAGATTTTCCACCCATTGATTCACTTCCCAAGTGGCCACAACGGCCAGTGCTGAGCCAATCTGAAGCCAGGAGACAGGAGGCTAGTAGCTTCTTCCAGGTCTCCCACACAGGTGCAGGGTGCCAAGGCTTTGGGTCATTCTCTATTCCTTTCCCAGGCCACAAACAGGGAGCTAGATAGGAAGTGGAGCATCCGGGATTAGAACCAGTTCCTATAAGAGATACTGGCATTTGCACAGCAAGGACTTTAGCTGCTAGGCTATCACGCTAGGCCCAGGGATCCACCTTCCAAGCAATATTTCATTTTAACTTACTTTAAATTTCTACTGTGGCCAACTTGTCATTCTGGATATTTATAGCCACAAGTAGACATTTCATTTCACCTCAGATATCTCTAACAGAAAAATGAATAAATCACTCAAATATGATTAATCTAGAAAATTGTTCTGGGGAATTATTATCCTGAAGTAAGTCTGAATTAAATGGATAACAAAAATTATTCTGCTGGTCGAACGCAGCAACACAGACCCCAACAGCACAGTAGAACTAAAGGCAAACTAGAAGTAACAGAAAAATTACTTACCTCAGAAAAGAACCCACTATATTTTGATGATGGGCTTTCTGTCTGTGAAGAACCAGAGTCACTGGAATTAATCAAATATGGTCGACTATCATGACGTAACTTTTCGGGCAGGTGGCCTGCACAAGCCAGTTCATTTTCTTTATTTGCCATGTCACAGCCCCCACTGCTAGGGGACTGTTTTTTTCTGTAACAAGGATCCGGAAAGGGATGATGAACTTTCTTTCTGCGACAGATCACTTTACGTAGTTTGTCTGGGTTTTTCACAGCTTGTCCAACTGTTCTGTAAAAAGAATTTTTAAAGTATAAAAAATTAAAATCTAAGTTTTTAAATGAAAAATTTAAACAGGCCATGTTTTGTGAATATAGTAGTCTACTAAAATTAGAATTGAAAGCAATAACTTAAAATACTAGGTTTGAAAAGGAAAAGCTATCGTTTATCTAGAAGCAATACAATAAACGACACTTAAAAATACAATAAACAGAGTCAAACTAGCTAGATGCTTTAAAATGAAATGAAGCTGTAGTGTGGCACGCGAAGCCTCTGCCTGCAATGTCAGCATTCCACATGCGTGCCAGTGGGAATCCCAACTGCTCGACTCCAAAGTCTGGAGAAGCAGAAGAAGATGACCCAAGCCTTTGGGCCCTTGCACCCACTTGGGAGACCCAGATGAAGCTGCTGGCACCTGGCTTTGGAAAGGCCCAGCTGCAGCTGTGTGCCCATTTTCAGGAGTGATCTGGTAAGATCTGTCTCTCCTCTTTCCATCCAAATTCTGCCGTTCAAAATAAAATAATTCTTAAAAACAAAAAAAGTTAAAGACCACTGTGGAAGTAAGAAAACTGTGAACACTTTCTTAACACAATCTTTGCCTAACAAAATGATAAACATACTGTACAAGTTTAAATAACTTTTAAAATATTTATTTTTTATTTGAAAATCAGAGTTAGAAAAGGAGAGATGAAGAGCTTTCATAGCCAGCCATGGGGTTGGCCCCACAAGTTTGAATATTTTAAAAATTATTTGACTAGGTTCAAATACATTGAATTTGAACAGAGTATAACAGAACAAGTATCAGTTCGGCTGTTCTCAAATATTTTAGTGTTAAGATGCTTTGAAATAAAAAGTTATTTAGGACTCAAAAAACATTGTTTTTTGGGCCCGGTACAGTAGCCTAGTGGCTAGAGTCCTCGCCTTGCAAGCACCAGGATCCCAAATAGGTGATGGTTCTAATCCTGGCTGCCCTGCTTCCCATCCAGCTCCCTGCTTGTGGCCTGGGAAAGCAGTCGAGGACGACCCAAAGCCTTGGCACCCTGCACCTGTGTGGGAGACCCGGAAGAGGCTCCGGCTCTTGGTTTTGGATTGGCTCAGCTATGGCCATTGCAGCCACTTGGGGGATGAAATCAGCAGATGGAAGGTCTTCCTGCCTCACCTCCTCTGTGTATCTAACTTTCCAATAATAAATAAAATCTTAAAAAAAAATGTTTTTATGTGACTACCTATTGATGTTTACTGTATTAGAATAATACAAAAAAAAGTTTAAATACTTGTTAATTTGAAAGACTCAAAAAATACTATTGCCCAAAATAATCAAAACAGTAAGAAGGGTACTATTTTGTATTTTTCCAAAACTCTAATGTCTGATTTAAGAGCAAATAGCTGGATTCTCATTTCTACATGTGCACACAACCTACAGTGATATCAAATATCAAAAATCATTATGCAAGAAAGCAAAACAAAACTGAGTAATATCTTGGTATTGCCAAAAACAGTCTTGACCTCACACACTCATACCCGGCTTTCAGATACCTCTGCGTCCTTGGGTTACGCTTTTTTTTCTATAAAGATTTATTTATTTCTATCACAAAGTCAGATACACAGAAGGGAGAGAGGAAGATCTTCTGTCCAATGATTTACCCCCAAGGTAGCTACAACAGCTGGAGCTGAGCCAATCCAAAGTCAGGAGCCAGAAGCCTCTTCCAGGTCTCCCAATTGGGTGCAGGGTCCCAAGGCTTTGGGTCATTCCCTATTCCTTTCCCAGGCCACAAGCAGGGAGCTGGATGGGTAGCAGGGCAGCCAGGATTAGAACCAGCACCTTTTTGGGATCCTGGTGCTTGCAAGGCGAGGACTTTAACTGTTAGGCTACTGCACCAAGCCCCTGTTATACTTTGAGCACCAGTGGGTGTATGGAAAGTGCCTTTTTGTTTTTTGAAGATATATTTATTTTTATTGCAAAGGCAGATACATATAAAGGAAGATCTTCCATCTGATGATCCACTCCCCAAGCAGCGCAACAGCCACAGCTTCACTGATCTAAAGCCAGGAGCCAGGTGCTTTCCCAGGTGCACCCCACATGGGTGCAGGGTCCCAAGGCTTTGAGCCATCTTCGACTGTTTTCCCAGGCCACAAGCAGGGAGCTGGATGGGAAGTGGGGCTGCTGGGATACGAACCGGCACCCATATGGGATCATGGCGCGTTGAGGGTGAGCATTTTAACCACTAGGCCACTGTGCCAGGCCCGAAAGTGCCTTTTATTTTACGCAAATCTGAGATGAATGCTCCATTCAATCACAGATGTATGATCCAGAACCTATCACTCAGCTTCTGTGACTTAGTTTTTTCATCAACTGCTGAGGACAACACATATGAAATACAGCTTTAGAAGGAAAAGTACAGCTTTTATCAGGGAAAACCTGGACAATAAATTTATTCTCCTAATAAAAGAACTTTCATTTCCCTACTATTCTCACCTTTACCCAATTTTTTATATTTGCTGCTTCCCACAAACTATCTTTTCGGTTGTATTTTACCATTTTTATTTACTTGAGAGGCAGAGAGACTCCCAGAGACGGGGAGCTCCCACTCATTGGCCAACTCCCAAATGCCCACAGCTGTCAGAGCCCCAGGTGGGCACTCATCCGGGTACAGCATGTAAGAGGCAGGCTCCGCCCGGCTCCTCAGGGTCCGCTTAGCAGGAAGCTGGGTTCAGGAGAGGAGGTGGCCAGCAGCCTGGGCTCTCCGCCTGAGGACAAGGCTGTCTCTGCTGCTAGAACAAACACTCACCCTTCACACAGACTATAAAGATGCTCTTACCTATTTATGTAAGCAGCCAACTGTTTGGGAGATTTCTTAACCTGAAAAATGAACGTAAATCATTTTAATATATTTAAGTTCTTTAGCAGAGTTATGTAAACTCTGTGACTGGTATCAACAAAACTAAAATTCAGCAAGAAGGGTTTCAGGTAAGGCTTTCTCTGTTCCAATGCTGCAGTCACAGACATCAAGTACAATGACACTGTATACAGGAATTTCTGGCAAAGCAACACATTCATTTCCCTAGTCACTTACAACCTACAAGAATGCTTAATAATTGAATGTTGACAGGGCCTAAAAGGAATTTTAGCAGTGCTAATGAGTCTTGCAATGGTTAAAAAAAGAAACAGCTCTTAAATTCCACTTAAAGTAAAATAGTCAAATACATCAAAACTGTACAGTAGCCAGAAAGATTTTAGAGCTTTGGGTATTTCAAATGGTGACATGTCACTAATCTGCTTATTTCAGGGAGAGCAGGCAGAACCATTACCCTCTCACTGTCTAGGTCAGTTAGCCATTTTGTCCTTCATCTAAAACCCATGAACATACCTCCTTCATGTTCTTATTAGTGAAATTAGAAATCCTTTTTCTAGGAAGATCAGTGGAATGATCCTCAATATTATTACAGAAGTTCCGTTTCTTAACATTGTGGTTTTCAGATGCCATAATCTCTTAAGTACCTAGACAACAAAATACAAATAATAATTAGGAAATGCAAAAGGTAAAATAACTATTTCCTTAATAGGTATATAAAAAAGCAACAATGGCTCCGTAACAGAGTTTTGTACAAAAACCAGAAAATACAATTCTCATTTATTCATTTGTAGAAACTTTAAACACAAAGAACACAGGATATTTCAGCAATGTAAGACTCTCCAGTCTCATTCTGTAGCAGCAACCAGTTACAAACAATGTGTACACACACACACACACACACACACACACACACACACACTTACCAAAGCAGTGTCAATCTCCCTGTTACCAACAATTATCAAATGTAAGAGTTATAAAATGGAAATTTACAAAGTAGTTTAGTATCTAGAAGCCTAAAACTCAGAACAATGGCATTTGGTGAAATACAAAGCCACTTCAAAAACTCTGTGGCAGTGTGGATGCTTGGCATTGCGGTTAAATTACCACTTATGCCTCCTGCACTGCACATCAAAGCGCCTGGGTTCAGGCGCCAGCTGCCGTGTGTACAGATGACTCCATGTGTACACTTGGCATCTACACGGAGGGAGATCCACACTGAGATTAGGTTCCTGGCTGCAATTCGGCTCAGTTCCGGATTTAACAGGCATTTGGGGAGTGAACCAGTGGATCATATCTCTAGCTCTATCTTTCATTTTTTTCTTTTTAGTTTTTTTTCTAGTTCTATCTTTAAAATAAAAGTAAAAAACAAAAAATTCCTAAATTCTGTGGAAGAATCGATGCTGGTGTTTTGCTACTGCGATACCAGGTCGTGTCCCGGCTGCTCCACTTCAGATCAAGCTCCCCACAAATGGCCTGGGAAAAGCAGTGGAAGATGGTCCAATTACCTGAGTCCCTACTATTCAACTGGCATCCAGATGAAGCTCCTGGCTTCAGCCTGGCCCAGCCCTGGTTACTACGGTCATGTGGATGGTTCACTATCTCTCCTGCTATCTCTAACTTTCAAATAAACTATCTTTTAAAAACGTTTGTGAATAAATGGAATTAAATTGTTTTGATAGGTAAAAAATTGAAATCTACAAGTACTTCTCTTTTTTTTTTAAGATCTACTTATCTTCATTGCAAAGTCAGATATACAGAGAAGAGGAGACACACAGAAGATCCTCTGTCCGATGATTCACTCCTCAAAGTGACTGCAACAGCCACTGCTGCGCTGATCTGGAGCCAGGAGCCAGGAACCTCCTCCAGGTCTCCCATACAGGTGCAGGGTCCCAAGGACCCTTGACTGCTTTCCCGGGCCACAAGCAGGGAACTGGGCTGGAAATGGACCAGTTGAACTTGAACCAGTGTCTATATGAAATGCTGGCACTGTGGGTGGAGGCTAACCTTGCACCTTAATACTGACCCCAAAACAACCTTGTACTGAAAAGCCTAAAGTGTAAACAATCCAAATGACAAGTGATGAATGAGTAAATATGGTACAGCTGCTTGGAATATCATACAGTAACAAAAAAGAATGAAATACATGT